CCAAGTAAATTAGTTTATTAGAATTAGTTAAGTAACAAAACGAATGATGACTAAGGTTTCACTATGTTCAGTTTAAATCGTCCTGTGGTTTTTCAGCTCTAATCCTTTTCAATCATGATTTGATAGAAATAGCCTCATTAGCTATGTGTACCCAGTTTTACTATGAAAATATCTTTTGCTGATCTTGGGAACAAGGCAAGAATAAACAACAGGTGAATAAAAATCGGACAGTGACTTTTTCTATTCATTCCCATGACATAAGTGTTGCTAACAAGGCTAGCATTTATTGCTGATCCCTAATTGTCTTTGGGAGTGAGTCACCTTCTTGAACTGCTGCAGTCTGTGTGGTGAGGGTACAACCGCAGTGCTGTAAAGGAGGGAGTTCGTGGTTCTTGACCCAGCCGCAGTGAAGTTGCTGCACAGTTCCAAGTCTGAGATGGAGGACTGGTGGTGTTCCCGTGCACCTTGTCCTTCTAGATGGTACAGGTCTTGAGCTTGGAAGGTGCTGTTGCAGAAGCTTTGGCACAGGATGCTGCAATGTGTCTTGTATAATACAGAATACAGCCTGATACAGGCTGCAAGTTTGAGAACATTCTCCTCCTGTATTATACAATTCTAGGTCTGGGATGGACTGTGGGCCTGGCTGAGTCTGTGAGAAGCTTTCTTCGTGCAATTTTGCTTGAAAGCTTTAATTTAAGAAACCTGTAACCATGTGAGATGTTAACTCTACATATAATGATGTAGTTTTAACCCATCATACTTCAAAATAATTTCTACAGGTACTTCTAAACAAGAGAAGTAACATGGGTGACCAACTCTGACAGTAATATCTATGGCCCATTGGAAACACAGGCTCTGTATGTTTAAAAGGGATGTGTGTGGCTGTCAGTTAAATTACACCAAAGCTCAAGAGTTACCACAAAGTGGGGGGGGGGTATTTAACTGGATGAAAGGAAGTTGATATTTACTAGTGATGATGGCAAGAACATTGGTAGCAATTTGTTCAGCTGATTGTAATGAGGTTGGGCTGTGAAACAAAATGTTAGATGCAGCAGAGCTATCACCTAACACTGATAAGAATAGATTAAGAGGAGCACCATCTACTTCAGGATGAGGATCTCCAAAAAGGTCCTTCACAGAAAAGTAAACTTCAGGCAATATGTTCCGGCACCTAGTGGGGATGTTACAGGCCAACAAAGTTCAAATCACAAAGGTCTTCTAACAGCCTTCCCTGACGGTAGAACGCAGGGCCAACGGGGAATTTCTGACCAAAGTATACAGAAAGGCCACACACATGGATCAAGTCCTAAATTTCAACATTAACCACCCCAGTGCCCACAAACGGAGTTATGTGAAAACACAGTTCAAACAAGCTACAACACACTGCAGCAACCCAGAACTACGCCAAAATGAAGAAGAATACCTTCACTGAGTATTTAGAGGCAACGGATACCCAAACAGCTGGGTCCGAAGATGCCTGTCACACAAACAACAGGAAGATACAGTACACCCCGTTACACACTTGTCACGTTACCGTACATCAAGAACATATCTGAACTGACCACAAGACTCCTGCGACCACTGGGCATCAGAGTGGCACACAAACCTACGTCAACCCTACGCCAACTGCTAACTCGAACCAAAGATCCCTTACCCACCGTGGACAGAACCAACATGATATACAAGATTCCATGCAAGGACTGCAATAAACATTACATTGGACAGATGGACTGTGATAAACATTACATTGGACAGACAGGAAGGAAACTGGCTATGAGAATACATGAACACCAACTAGCAACAAAAACGTGCGACCAATACCCACTCATCTCCATACGTACAGACAAGGAGACCAACCAGTTCGATTGGCACAACGTCAGGATCCTAGGAAAAACCAAACGGAGACAAGCACGGGAATTTCTAGAAGCCTGGTTCTCCACCAAGAAAGCCATCAATAAACACATAGAATTAGACCCTGTATACACACCACTGCAAAGAAAAATTGGAAATGAAGTAAGCACCTTGAACAGACCCCAGAGTTTAATTGACAAGTGGGGGAAACACAACGGCGCTTCATTGGAGGCTGCACTGATGATGTTACCCATCAGGATAAGGAAACGTCTGCGGAACAATGAACCAGCTTAGCGAGCCAACCAACCACAACACCCACAACCCGACTTCTGTTTTGTTCCTGAGTATAAAAGTAGGAAGGTTTCACTAAAACTATGCAAGACACTGGTCAGACCGCAGCAGGAATAGTGTGAACAGTTTTGGGCCCCTTATCTGAAGAAAGATATACTGGCATTAGAGGGAGTTCAGAGAAGGATCCTAGGTTGATCCTCATTTGGAGGGATTATTTTATGAGAAGAGGTTGAGTAGTTTGGGCTTGTATGCTTCCTACACCTGTACGAATACAGAAGAATGAGAGGTGACCTTGTTGAAACATATATGCTTCCCAGGAGACTTATAGGATAGATGCATAAAGGTTCTTTCTCCTTTTGAGAGAGTCTAGGACCAAAGGGCATACTCTCAGAATAAAGGGTCACACATTTTAGATGGCGATAAGGAGGAATTTCTTCTCAGAGGGTAGTGAATCTGTGGAATTCTCTATCACAGAGGGATGTTGAGGCTGGGGTCATTTAGGATATCCAAGTCTGAGATAGGCATATTTTTAATCTGTAATGAAATTGAGGGTTATGGGGAAAAGACAGAAAAGTGGAGTTGAGGATTATCAGATCGGGCCAAGTTCATATTGAATGTTGGAGCAGACTCAATGGGTTGAATGGCCTAGTTCTGCTTCTGTGTTGTGTGGTCTTAAAGGTAAATTAATATGTCGCCTTTCCTTCACTGTCGCTGGGTCAAAATCCTGGAATTTCCTCCCTAGTGGCATTGTGGGTCAACCCACAGCAGTGGACTGCAGCAGTTCAAGAAGGCAGCTCACCAACACCTTCTCAAGAGGCAATTAGGGATGGGCAAGAAATGCTGGCCAGTCAGCGATGCCCATATTCCACAAATGAGTTTTAAAAACACTGCTATAACTGAAATACCAAGGACATTTTGCAACTTAAATATTAAGTGCTGCATATTTTTTGAGTTGCACAATACAATGTTAATTTTGAAGCTGTGAGTTGGAGAATTCGAGACTGTGTGGCACTGAAAGGCTTTTGATTTTAGGTAATTCTGCCTGAGAACAGCCTATGATTGGTTGACGTATAGGGTATTAAAAAGCAGAAAGTGTCACGGCAGCAGAAAGGAAATCCCAGAGCCAAGAAGACTTCTTTCTTTGGCCTGTACAGTACCTTAGGTGTATGTTACAGCTTTAGAAATTATCTTTTCCCATGTGTTTATATTTTGTGCAAACATGTGTAAGGTTGGAGGTGTCGTGATTACATTTCAGATGATGTGAGTAATAAATAGTCTTCTTTTGATTTAATCAAACAATGAAGCCTGTTCCACGTACGTCGATGAAATGCTATTTCCCTAAACTTGTAATCAGCTAAGAGAGGAGAAGGGGGAGAAATTATCCCACATCTCTCCCCATCGATAATACTAACATAATTATTCCAAAGGACTCCTTTCAAACCCAAATTCCTAACTCATCCACCATAGCTCCACCTTTATTCTGCATTAATCTCAATTGCACAGCTCTATATTGGCACCTTGTGTGCCTAGATCATAGAATCCCTACAGTGTGGAAACAGGCCCTTTGGCCCAACAAACCCACACCACCCCTCAGAGCATCCCACCCAGACCCACCCCTTATAACCCACCTAATCTACACATCCCTGAACACTACAGGCAATTTCCAATGGCCAATCCACCTAAGCTACACATCTTTGGACTGTGGGAGGAAACCGGAGCACCCGGAGGAAACCCACGCAGACACAGGGAGAATGTGCAAACTCTACACAGGCAGTCGTCTGAGGGTGGAATCGAACCCAGGTCCCTGGCGCTGTAAGGCAGCAGTGCTAACACTGTGTTCTCTCTGAATACATCCAAGCACCCTGAATTCCACCAGTACCTCACCTTCCATCCTTTTGTTTGCAAAGCAGGAGGACTTTGCAGCCTCATATCATCCGTTGGTGATTTGGTTGCGGCCCCTGACATTTTAGCGCCTCATTATTTGATTCAACTGTGCCTAGACACAGATAACTGTGTCATCAGTGACACTTCACCTTGCTTTCTGGATTAGCCACTCAGAACCCCTTTGTGCTCCTCTTCTCTTTTCTTCCCTTAAACACTTCCTCAACATCTCACCGACTGGACTCTCAACCATCTAACTAATTTTAA